CCACCTCAGGATTCCACATATGGAATGCTACATCCACATATGGATGTGGTAGGCTAGGCTACAAAATTAAGCATAAAATACTGAGACTGGAGGAATGAAACAGTCAAAACATTGAGCAGAATATTCAAGTGGCTAAGAACCTATGCTGGCCAGGAATGGATGTCACAGAGCACAGCTTCCATGTATAGAGAAACTCTCTTTTGGGTGAGAATACTTAATTCTTTACAGCCAGTAGTTGTGCTATGGAGAAAAAAAAAAAAAAGTTCTTTAGCCTAAAAAAAACCCACAGTTTAATGTAAGTATTAAGAAAGAAGGAATGAGCTTCCCAGATAGACTAAACGATTCCTTTGGATAATAGGTTGTCTTCTCTATCGAGAAATAAATCTCAATTGGCCCTTTGACAGGGAGAGACATACCTTGTAACTGAAATACACATTTGACTTTACTAACCATAAAGTAATACCTAACTTCTCTGCAGACACCCCCAAGGAAGCAGTATTGCAGGAGGGCTAGTTAAAGGAGCTTTGTCAGTTGCTGCCTCTGCCTACAAAGCACTGTTTGCTGGGCCACCCATTATAGAACAGGTAAATGTCTTTCCTACATGCTATATGAGATTTATAAATGCCAACCTTAAAATTAGAGGTGTATATTTCATAAATGTTTTAATGTTGTGTATGATACTACTTCTTGAAACACGCTCTTACTGTTGCGATAGTAAGACATTAAGCTTGATGGCATGCCTTTCAAGTATGCTGCTCCACCAAAGCCATACATTGGGGATATAAGCATCTCTTACAGCATCATGCAAAAGCAGTAGTAAGCTTTCGTAAGTGAACAGTCAAGGTGAATGTAAACAGCTGAATGCAGATAAAGGGCCTCAGTGCCTTAAAACTATATTCCAGCATAATGCAGAACTATTACTTCAAATAGCAAAAATAAATTCATAGCATTTTTTTCCTGACAACATGGATTCATAAAAGCTGCAGATGAAAGGATCTCCTGAGAGGTCCCATGGAGCTCATTCTTTGGCCAATAAGCATGCATGGATTATTTTAATGAGTAACAAAAGGGACAGTTGCTCATTAAAATAACCATTATTTATCTATTGCTCGTTATGAGATAGGATCACTGTGGCTCTGCTAGCAGATGTGACATGTGGTGACCTTTAGCTGTCCCCCAATAACTTGGTTCTTTAGCAGAAGAAATCTGTGTGGGTATGGGTTTTCTTGTTTGTTTTTTATGAAATTATATAAGCCAGCTCTCCCAGTTGGTGTTTTCTGATATCATTATCTTACACATGCCCTGATGTACAACTCTCGAGCACCTCCAGGCTAACCTGCGGTGTACTGCTCTGCTGTCTTGCTCCCGGTTGTCTGTCCACCTAGAAACTGCTACGCACACGTGCTTATCTCTGTGGAGTGTGCAATACATGTACAATACATTTATAAAGATAGCTGATGTAGTCCATGCACTGGAATGTAACTGTTCAAAGACTGAGCTTCCTCTAGACTCGAGTAGGATTAGATCCAGTAAACTTTATTTGGAACGCTATTTTTAATCTGTCTCCAAGAGTGGTAATATGTTGACTGTCTTTACTGGCCACTGCACTCCACTGAATTCTCTATGGCTATTTGGACCTTAAGATTGAGTGTAGTGTGTGGTGGTGGGTTTTTTTATTTATTTTAGTCAGGTTGACTAAGGACCACTGCAGCTAAAACTAAATAAATATTCATTTTTAAAAGACTTATTAGTAGGCCAAAGCCAGTTTGCAAGGCTTAGCTACTGTAACTGTATCTGATAGTGTCACATGCCCTTCTCCCACCTAACTGATGAAGCTGATTCAGTGTGCCCTTGGAAGAATAAACAAGTCACAAATGAAAAAAGTTTGTTTGCAGACATTATCCTGTTACACCTTAAGATCTTTGTAGTGTAGCCTAACCCATAGTATGCATTCAGGGGAAGAGACTTGCAAACAATTCTGAATTTCCTTTTGTTTTAAGCAGCCTGCAGTTACAGAAGAGCACACTGCCACTCTTCTATCCAGTCTGTCTGAGATGGGATTCTGTGACAGGCAGTTAAACCTACAACTGCTGAAGAAATACAACAACAATATGGTTCAAGTGGTAACTGAATTGCTTCAGATCAATAACAGTGACTGGTATGGCAGTAGATGCTGAACTTTCCTGGTGGAGGGAGGAATTGCTTTCATTGAGCAGACTCATTAAACACTGCAGCAGTAGCAGGCTTCTCAACTTCTTTCTGTTCTGAGTGTGGCTAAAAATTTGGGGTTCTTCAATGAGCTTTTGAATTTTTTCTTTCTCTCTTTTTTTTTTTTTAATGGAAATGTCAAACACAGTACTTGTCACAGCATTTTATCAATTGGAGACCAGATTTTCAACTTTACTCTGGACCTCATAAATGAGCCTTTAAGTCTCTAATCAGATACTGAATCCCTTTTATCTGGGAATCCTGTAGAATGACTGAAACGTCCCATCAAGTGAGAACTTCCCCTTTTCTTGAGTGTGAAGATATTTTTAGGCAGCTGGAAACTCTGTTTTGTTGACTATTAACAAGCTTTGGAAGAAGAACCAATGCCAAATGCTGCTGTAAAATATAGTCTTGCCTAATGTACAAGAGATGCCTGCACCTAGCAAATTGCTTCTGATACAATTTAGTAGCTGACTTCTGTCTCGTGCGTGATGGTAATATAACAGATTAAAAACCTATACAAATCATTTTTAGAAGAAAAAGGCTCATACATTAGTCATCTTAAACCATGAAACAGCTTTTAAAGTCTGAAAGTGTAAGCACTTTAAATTTAAACTGATGAGTATCAAGGATGTCATTGTTTCATGTAGTAGAATGAAGCATGAGAATTAATTTACCAGCAGCTATTGAACTATCTCTAATAATGATAGTGCAAAATATATCTCTAACAGAAAATATAGCATACATAAAATATTTTGTTAAAGTGTAGCTGTAGGAAAGGCCTTTCTAAGAACCTTTAGAGACAATGTAAAAAGGTTAAAGACGTGAACACTTTATTTTTTTCTAACTCAGTGTAGTGCAAGCCTTTTATTCTGCTGCTCCTACACAGAAGAACTGAAGAATGTGTAGAAAGCCAGACCTGAATTGGAGTGCAAATTGTAGTAATGTTTGGGAATGCGAAGAGTGTCTGAGGAAGGGATTGGGTGACTTTTGGTTTATTTTGAGAATAAGTTTGAGAGTATTAAGTGTACAGTCTCCCTTGATGGTTCTAGCTGGCCATGTATTTCCATTGAGACGTCTGCTGGATTCAGTTTCTTGCAAGATTTTGCTTTAGATGCCCATATTCTAATTTGGAAATCTGAGAATTCCCTTTTAAACATGCTGAGAAGAGATTTGGTTCTGAAGAATCACAAGAAACCAGCAACATCCACTGCTGTGCAGTGGTGTATCAATAGATAACTGCTTAGAAGCCAGTCTTCTGAAAGCAACAGCAGTGTTGGCAACATTCTTTCTTTCAAGTGGATTTTTTCCTTGCTGCAATAAAAGACCATTGATCTGAAATTTTATGTTACTGCGGCTTCAAAATAGTTGTTGTGATAGGATGTACCTGAAGCAGTATTAGTATTGTGACTGACCCAGTAATCACTTGTAGTAAATTTCTTAAAGATGAAATGCCCTTAGATAAGATACCATAAAAGTGATTGAAGAAAAATAATGTATCATACCATTTTTGTTTTAAACCTATTTTTGTAGATTGTGGAAGATAAAATACTCTTAAATGTTTATTTTGAAATACAGTGGGACTATTTTGTAGTGTTTCCCATCTATCTTTACTCCAGTATAGCTCTTACCTGCTGTGGACCGGATAAAGATCTTTCTGTAACATGAACCTACTGTTTTTCTGCCATGACTTATGCATACTCTTCTGAGTACCTTTTGGCTCATGCTTACTCCAGAACAAGGAGGAAAGGGCATGGATGAAATACAGTAGCTGGTGCAGTTTCTGAACCTAGTGCGCTTGTCTGCTTTGATCAGGATTTCCCAGCAGGACACGTGTTCTTTCTGAGTGTGTCTTCATAACTCTGAGGAATTTTAATGTTTTCTGTTAACTAACAAAACACTAAAATGTTTGAGGAAAAACACTTCAGTGCAGATGGAAATATGAGGTGTGAAATGCTCTTTTCTTTAATTCCCCCCCTCCCCCCCCACACACACCCTAATGCTTAGTTTACTCTTTATTAGATTTTAGATGATGTATGCTCAAGCTTAAGATATATTTCTGTTGGCTTTGTATATTTTGTTAATGGATGCATGGTATAATTTATAATATATTCTAGAGTGCAGATTTAACTTCTGTATCTTATTTAGGATGAGCACTTTAAAGACAACTGTGATGGGGGGCAGGAGAAGGTGGAGTGGGGAGGATGAATTTCGCCTCGGTCCTTATAATAAAAATTCTACCTGGCTGGGTGTCTCACAGGCTCTTTCCAAGCTAGGGGCTGGGGTGGCCGGGGACGAGGGCTGGCGGAGGCAGCCTGGGGGGAGCTGCCTGCAGGGCGCCCCCCCGGGCACTGCCAAGCTCCCTGTCAGCAGCGCCTCAGGGGAGCAGGAAGGGCCACTGCCCATGAAAGGACCTGGGCTCTGTCACCTTCGCAGGCTCCTTCCCTTGCAGCCCTCAGGGCCCCCTGCCCCAGGGTGCTGGTGTGTGTTACTGGGAACCCGGAAGACTGCATGAGGGCAGCAGGCAAAGGGGTTAAATTTCTCAATATGCTGCACTTTGCGCTTGGCCTCCTGATATCCACCAATGAGTTTCGCAGCTCTCATGGCCATTTGTCTCAGCTCTGAGAAAGGACTAGGGTGCCTCCTCCTCACTGCTTGTTTTGGAAAATCTAGTAAAAAGTTAACTAGGGTACGGGGAAAAGCTTGCAGCTTCAATGCTTGGGGAGCTTGGAGGCTGCAAAGATGCAGCCTGTAGTACGATGGTAATGTGTTAGTTGAAAGGCTAAAATCCTTCAGGCATTTTATCTTTCTCTTCCCCTTTACATGCTGCAAGAGGATAGGGAACGCTTGGGATTTCCTCAGGCCTCCAAGCAGTGTCTTGCAGAATGTAATCAAATCAAGATTACAGGGCTGCTGAGAGGCTCCTCTGACCCTTTTTGGCTAAATAGGCAGTGCTGCAGCCATTTCCTTCCTTTCCTTAGTTAAATGAGAGCATGGTTCTTCCTTTGTCAGCAACAGGAGCAGTAGCTGCTGTTGGAATCAGCTTATCTCCTGCTCTTGTGCTCCCTGATGCACCCAGGTTTGTGGGCTGAGGATGAATGCTGGGCTCCACAAAGCTGCAGTGGATGTTCAACTCCACTGCCAGAGGGTGCTTTCTCCTTTCCAGTATGTTTTTTAAAAAGAGCCCTGCAGGGTTCTTTACTTTTGGTCTCTGGATCATCTGGGCAAACGTACAACTGCTGTTTATCTAGGCTAAATATGCTACCACTAGCTCATTAAAACAAGACTGTCTGGAGGAAAGGCTGGCATAGATAAGAAACAGTTGAGCTGTTTTTGTGATGAAAGTATAGCTTATTTCTCTCTGCTTCGTGTTGCTAATGCTTTTGGGAGGATTGCTAGGAGCTGATGTAGAAGTTTCTGATTGCTAGGAGCCTGGGAAAAGTAGTTCAACTGTGATTTTGGTGTTTAAAAATAGTCAATTGGGCACTGTTGGATTTTAGTCAGGCTAATATTAATAACTGAGTGGGAATACTAAGGCCTTCGTGTTCAGATGAGTTCACTGTTGGACACAGATGAATAATGACTGTATGAGAACTTTGGAATTCTACTTCTGGGCTGTACTGTCATCTCAAAACGTTCAAGTGCTTTGAGTTAGCATCCCCCCTTACAAAACGCCATGAGATGAAGGTCCTGGCGTGTTTATCGGGTGGTATTCTTGGACTTTTTCCTGCAACCAGAGTGGCTGGAAACTTCCATGTTTAAAAGCATGAGTTACATGGAGTAACTTGACTTTTAAAAGCAACTTAAGAGCTGTGCATTAAGAAATTTACCAAATTATATATTTGTGATCTATCATAAACACTAATAGTGCTGCTCTTGGAGGTTGGTTAATAGAGACAATTTTCTTAAAGCATTTTTGTGTTGGACACTTAGAATTCTTCCTTCAACCATGGGTGAAAAACTTTCACAGTTCTGGAAAGCATCTGATCAAAAAGAGAGTGAGGGCAAACTGATCTTACCCAGGCAAAAGGATGCGGAAGATGAAATAGCCAGTTATGCTAGTATCAACGGAGGAGATCCCGCTATGTCCTGTGTGCCCTTTGTGGGCATTGCAAGTCGAAGCTGTGTCAACTGTCCAACGTGTCAGGGAACAGGAAGGATCCCCAGGGGTAGGTGACTCTTCTGTGTGCTGTCTGTGCTTTTTGAGTCTCCTGAGGTTGGTATGCCTCTTTTCCCAAAAGACCTTGGTTGAACCAGCTGGTCTTTACTGCATCCAGTCCACAAGGGGTGTCCTGTCTGCTTTAGCACCTTAGGCTCTCCAGCAATGTCTGTGGGCTGCCCCTCTTGGGGGAGAATGGGGTGGGTAGGCAGGTGCTGAGAGAATTACTCAAAGCCTGCCCTGGGGCGCCTGGGGGATTGTTTCTGCCCAGAGCTGGGAATGCTCAGACTGAACTCTGTTGCATCACACTCACCTTCTAAATTGGACAGTGTGACCAATAAGGTGGCTGCAGATTGACACTAAGCTGCTGTGCAATGCCCTACAATGCGATGTGCTTTATTCATTTGGGTGCTCAGTGCAGTCTCTGATCTGCTCCCACCTCTTTCAGAGCAAGAGAAGCAGCTGGTGGCTCTGATTCCATATGGTGACCAGAGGCTGAAACCTAGACGAACGTAAGTCCTGTTAAATTCTCCCTCTTTCTCATCCTTTGAACGTCCCTTCTGTATGTGAAGGGAGGCCTCGGCCCTTTGCCGATAGAAGCAATCTATCTGCAGCTGTTCGCTGGAGGGTGTTTTGCTCTCATGCTATGACTTGCAGTGAGTTTGGTGTTTACAGCGTCTGTTCCACAACAGCAGATACCTGCACGATCCTCGGTACAGGAGGAAACATGGAGTTGTTGGAGATTTCTAGCAATTCCTGTCCGCTTCCATAGGAACAGGCAGTGCGTCACCGTGTGGGAGCTCCCTCCTGCTTCTCCCATCGTTTGGGAGTTCTGTGCGAACCCATCCCAGTTTTCTGGCACCCAAGTTCCTGTTGTCTCCCTCTGCTGAGCTGGAGCTGGGCTGCAGGTGCTTGCAGCTGATGAGCCAAGAGAACGATGTGGCCATGGTGCTATTTTGCAGGAAACTGTATGTATGTCTTGCTGTGACAATCTGCCTGCTGATGACGTCTCTCAGTATCTTCTTCCTGTTTCCTCGCTCCATTACTGTGCAGCCTGCAGGGCTGAATGCCTCCTCCATTGGCTTTGATGCCACCACCACCAGTATATATCTCAACATGACGGTGAGTTCTCAACTCAGAGTCAGACAGTGGGTAAAAAGGGCAGAGCTTCTCCTTATTATCCTACATGTCCCTCTGTGCAGAATAACTGATCGCTGTCTCTAGTTAGAGTCTGGTCGTCCCCACCAACTCGGTCTACTCTAGGGCTGCTTAAGCAGCAGTGTCAGGAGTGTGTTACAGTATCAGAGGTGTGGGTAGCCTGGCTATGAGCAAGCAAGTCATGCAGAGTAGTCAAAGGTGCAGGAGCAGTATGGTGATTAACTCTGGCAACCAGGCTGGGTATATTTCTTGGAAGGGGACGTGTGGTCTAGTGCTGCTTTAAGGTTATAGCAGGGATATACTTAAAGTAGTTTTGCTACAGTGACATACAGTTCTGCTGCAAGGTGGTTTGTTTTCTTGTTTCTCTCCCTAGAACATGCTGAACATAACTAATAACAACTTCTACCTGGTCACTGTTGTGCAGCTGGACATAGAGGTTTTACACCAGTCCCTGGTAATAGGGAAGACCACCATGAATACGCTGCTGAATATCAGTCCTTTACAGAGTGGCCAGGTGAGCTTTGCTGTCTCTTGCAGTTCCTCCTAAACTAGTCTGGATGTCCTGCTTAGTGGGGGGTGCTTCTTGTATGCTTGACCCACTCTGTCATCTGCCAGCTAAATGCCCAAAGTCCCTCCGCATGCAGGGTCTGCTTCTACTTGTTCCCCCCCCCCTCCCCGAGAAGGGGACTTGCAGGAATTTACACATTGCTGAGTTTGAAGCTGGTACGTTTCTGGGCAAGGAATAGCTGCCTGGTCTCCAGGTAGTAGACAGGGTGGTGTGCTTGCTTAAAATGATGGAAAGCTTAAGATCAGGTTAGACAAAACCCTAGTGGGAACAGTTTGAACACAGCCGATCCTTTCTTGCTGTAAAGTGCAAGCATGTGGCCCAGATGACCTTTTTAAGGCCTTTGCAGACCTAATTTCTGATTCTATTTTGTTACCTACTGTTAAGAACAATTGTTAGGCTAACACTTGAAATTCAGGTTCTGAACTGCAGGCAACTCATGAGAGTCCAGCTCTCTACTTCAGCTCTCTGGGCTGTATCCAAACATAACTCTAATTCTTGTGTTTTCTGCTTTTTCTTCTGTTCCCACTTGCAGATCTATTATATGGTGGCCAGTAGGATACTAGACAGCAATACCTTGTGAGTAATTCTTGAAGATTTCTTCCCTTGGTTAGTAAGTAACATTAATGCTTAAAGGCTTTCTACAACTAGATTTTTTTGTACTAGTCCTATCTCTACAGTGAAACTGAGCGTGTTTTTGAGTTTAATGTGTGCAGCTGACCTGGACACAAATCTGGCACATCAATTTTAAACTAATTTCCTTTCTTATCTGCTGGTGTTCACTACTTGCTCTTGGCTCAGCAGTGTCACTTTCCTATATTCTGGCGAGTAAGTGATAGTATTGGTTTGATGTCTAGGTTGCAAACTTTTGACGCTCCATTTGTGAGCAGCTAAATGCACCTTGTACCAACTATGCTTCTCTGCAGTTAACCAGCAAGCTATGCAAAGTTCATAGCAATCACAGCTCCTGTGCAGTTAGGTTGTATGCATTGTGTATTTGGGAGTCCCATGCTTACTGGATCCTAAGTGACTGAGTTACAACAGCAAAAACTTGCTTTACCACGGTAGATAGAGCTTTGCTTCAAGAACTTTGCCTGCATAGCTGTTGTCCAAATCTTCCAAGGACAAGCCTTTTCAGAGCAGAGAGACAATAGAATGACTGAGGACCAGGAGACACACGGTGCAGGGCACTCCTGTGAAATTAACTCTCTCTTTTCTCTTGTAGTAACATCTGCACCTGGACTAAAATCAAAGTCCACAATGTTCTGCTGCATATACAGTAAGTGGTGCCTGGTTCAGAACTAAAACTAACATCCATGTGACCTGCATTCTTTCTGAACTCCCTTCAAGGTCAGCCAGTCACTGTTCTTGGAGACCAGAACTGGCTGCAGTGTGAATGTTGTGCTCCCCAGGTAGGTTTGCTGAGATGTAAGGGAGAGAGAATTCTCCAAAGCCGTTGGTGCTGTGAGAAGTCCCCTAGATTTAGGGTAACTGATAGCACAAGCTGTTGCTTGTGTTACACGGCAGACTGGCCTGATAAACTTCCTTCCCTGACGCTGGTTGCAGCTGTTGAGAAGGAGTTATTTGGCCTGGAGCTGGAAGCAGTGACTGGTTCCATCCTGCCTGCCTCGTGGTGTGGGGGGGGCAGACTCATTCAGCCTGCCCTCTGTCAGAGGGGCTGACAGCAGCTGCAGAGAGCACAACAGAGCAAAGCAGGCACATCGTGTTGCCCAAAGCAGCTCCTGTTCAGGGAATGGCCCGGGGCACCATGCTCAGCTTGATTGTGTTTGAGAGTAAGACAGACCCTGCCGGAAAAGCAAATGCAGGTTAGCTGTCCTTCCCTGCGAGGGGGAGGAACACAACTGAGGTTCTATAACGCTGCTCCTCCTGGGATCCACTGCTACTGTCCTGGCCTGTGTTAGAGCTAAATTGGCATATGAGACAGGGAAGCCCTTCTGGACGTAGCATCACTAGGACGCCCCTAGGCAGCCACTGAAAGAAGAGTGTCTTCATTAGCTGAATTCAAGCTGCTTTGGAAACCTGTGGGCATAAATTGTCTCTTGGTGCAGCGTGTGCTCACTAGAGGGACCTCCTTGCCCATCTGTGTTGACTGTGTTGACTCAGCTGATGCTCTCAGCTGACAGGCCCCTTGCTCTCTCCACTAGCAAGCTCTCCATTAGCCAGAGGTTGAAGAAGATTCTGGTGATCTTTGCAGTTTTTTGTACCACTTCTAATGCCCATGGATGGATTGCACAGTACTGGGAGAAACTGCTTGATGCAAAAGCTCTTGAGGTGGCACAGAAAGACAGTGACTGAATGATATGCTTTTGTCTAGCTAAGTCCATAAACAGTCACCTGGTATGTCTTGCACTAGCACCTTGGGAACAGGTAAACGGTGAAATGGCACAGGAGTGTTATGCTAGGGCAGTGAGTCTTTCTAATGCTGGGCTTACTGAATGGCCAAAGCATCCTTTGTGGTGGTAGGGAGCTTGTAAAGGCTTGCTTAAACTAATGCAGTCTGAAAGATGCTCTCCCTCTCTGACATGTGAACTTGAGCTGAGGATATGTGATAGTGTTCTGGGCTGTAAAATAGGGACAAAACAGAATGGCAGCATAAGCACACCACAGGACCCTTATATTCTGGAAATTCTTGTCTGGAACAATCATGAGTGCAGCTCTGGTCTGCTTTTGCCTTGCAGAGGCACCCTGACCTGCACATACCTGTGCCACTCAGAGCAGCTGGCTTTTGAAAACTACCAGTACGTGGACTGCCGTGGGAATGCCACACTACCTCGCCCATTGAACCACCACTTGCTGTGACAGGGCCAGGCTTGCAGAGCTTTTGGATGCTGTGTGCTCCATCACAAAGGCAAGTCATAGGGAGACAAAATTCTGGGGCTTCTTTTCAATTCATGACTTAGACAGGGAGACTTCATTCCTGGGATGAGACTTCATCTTCTGTGCAGAGATGGTAACATGCTCGGCCTTGTGAATGTGGAGTATACTGCCCTCAGATTTGCTGCTTGCTTTCTTCGGTGCCTTATCATGACTGACCCTTCAACAGAGTGACCAGTGCATGGGCTGTCTGCGCTGGCTCATCAGAGTGGGCTGCACTCGTGATCTCTACAGAGTTTTACTGTTACATGAGAGCCAGTGCCCTGTTAATCAGACTAACTCCAGTTGTTTCCTCCTTTTATAATTTTGTACTTCTGTCCTGAATGTAAGTATCTCATAACTCACAAAAGGAGGACTGTGATGAGACTTTTTGACTGGATTGCATCTCCATCACTACTGTCCACTGCCATTTGCACAACCTGCTCTGTGAAACAGGATCTGTGTATCTCTGGCTTTTAAATAATCAACTACATGTCATGCCCAAACACCCTGTGAGCGTGACTTTTGGGTGGCCACTGTGTTCAGCTGTCCGGTGTAGGAAGCAAGAATGCACTGTCATGATATTATATATGTATTTTTAAAAGAAGCTCATTTACTGGCTCTTATTTTTTTAAGAGGATCCCTTTCAGCCAGGAGAAAATGCATTTTGTAGCACGGCACAGAAAGATTGCTGCTTTCCTGCTGGTCGGGAGAGGAAGGCTGTTGGTGTTTGGCCACCACATGCTGTTTCCTTGCGTGCTCTGGCATTTAATGCTTTCAGTTTGAACAAGCATGAGAGTTCATCTCTGACAGTAAAAGCTCAGTCTGCACAAGTGTCAGGAAATAGCTGGGGTTTTTTTGTCTAAAGCTATAAAACAACCCAACAAACTTTATGGGAGGAATAGCCCTGGCAGCCGTCTCTCCTCCCAGTGCTGGGCATGTGGCAACTATATCCTCCATATGATGGATGGATGGGTTATAACTCATGCCTGGGTTTCTAGTTTAGCTAGTGCCTGATGCATTCTAGGTGGTGAGATAGGAGCCTGGGAGTTACTGGACTGAAAATTCCCTCTCAAAAGCAGGTCATCATTTTCCTGTACCCTTCTCACTGAAGGAGAGAACCAGTACATTAGAATAGTTGGAAAGAAACCTCTGATCCTCACTTCAAAATATGTTTCCCAAACCAGCACCTCTTACAGAGCTGGAGCAGGGTGTTGCTTCTCAATATATCATCTGTTGAGATCATGCTGAAATGGTAACTAATCAACTAACTCCCTCAAGGAGGGATGAGGAAGCTCCATGTGCCATTCTGAAATCCTCTCTGCTCTTGTCACATCTTTGCAATAGGTTTTGTATCTGCCATACTGTTGATTCTACCACATGTTCCCTACTGCTGCTGTTGAGTTTCCAGCTGTGCTTCTGCAGCACTGCTGTTATGCACTTGCACCATGTCCTTCCTTCTGTTCACAAATAAAAGACATCGTACAACCAGAAAGGGATGATTTGTCTTTGTACAGCAGATCCTCACCCTTGCTGCTGTACAGCTCCAGGGATACCAGCTGACAAACAAGCTGCTTTACATGGGCATGAAGGGAGACGGTGGGACACTCTGTGGAATGAAGGCTTTATGAATGGTGCGGAGCTGAGACTAGTGGAATGGCCATTTCTTGGGACATAGTTGATGAGGGAGCGAGAGGCAGGACATAACAGAACCAGAGCAAGCAAGGACTGGGGATAGTACTTGCTGCTTAAGAGAGACTGTTGCTCTGGAACAGTGCGGTGTTTATTTGGCATTAGCTGTTACTGCCTAAATTGGTGAAATCATCCACTGATTCTGTATACTTGTGGTGTTGGATTCACTGTGCTTGTCTGGCATTCAGGGTGGAATTCTTGGGAGTTGCTCCTGGCCTGCTGGCTAGTTGGCCATCACCATTGTTGCATGTATTGTACAGCCTGGAAGGGCAAAGAGGTTACTTTGTTTCTGCTGTATAATGGCACTGCATGAAAACCACTTCTGTTGGTCAGAATGCATGCAAGAGTTTGAAGTGAACCGTTTTCTCATCATTCAGATTAAGCTTCAACTGGGAGTGACTTAAATGTGCCACTTACAAGAACAAAACAGCCAACTCGATCCTTATAGAGCTAAGCAGAGATCATTACCAGTTATGTTACCAACCTTGTTTTTATGCTGCAGTTGGTTCAATTATAAGCATGTGTGTATCTAAAACCTGCTCAGCTGGCCTCTCACATCTTCAGGCTGTGACAACGAAGAGACCAAGGAACGAGCAGCAGGGGTGTTGACAAGCCCCTCTCATCTCACAGTAGGTACAGCACACAGGGGAAAGGCATCTTACGGAAGTAAAAAAGCTCCCGTTCCTGTCTGTGAGCGGAAGCTGATTCGATGCCAGTTCCTGGGACCCCTGATAACGGGAGCGGTGCAGCATCAGGCTGCGGCTGGGCACAACGCGAGCTGGGCCCTGCTTTGGGCTAGAGCTGCCCGTGCTCGGGAGCAGCGGTGCTGCCCCGCCGCCGGGCCCCCTTCCCACTTACAGTGAAGCGGTGCGGCAGCTTCGCGCTGGCTGTCGAAGGGTAAAGAGAGGGGCAGCAGCGCGGTCGAGGCTCTGCAAGAGGCAG